GGTGGGGGTGCAGGGGACGAGGCGCAGTGGCTTGAGGTCAACTGCTAACGGAAAGGTGGGCGGTGCAAACCCATGCAGCATTCTACCCAAGAAAAGCCTGGCAGTGGGCTTCCACAAAAAAACAACAACACAACAACCCCCCCTGCAGAGCAGTTCTACTCCGGAACACACAGGGTCGCTCGCTCACTCGCTGTGGGTCAGGGGCCACCTCCACCGCCGCCGCAGGCATGCGCCAAGGGTTCTCCTGGACTGAGGCCCAGAGGTGGCTTGCCCAAGGTCACAGAGTGGCCTGAGACACTCCAATGTCTGTCTGTGTACTCAGCCCCGGGGATGGCAGGAAGAACAACAGCAAAACATGCGAGGTTGTAAGGATGCCGTTGGAGTGTGCTAACCAGTTCTCCCTGGCTCTGCGCGCCCCTCGAAGAGGTGGCAGGCGCAGGCTGAGTAACGGACGGGGACATCTCTAGAGAGAACGCAGCAGAATGGGATGGAGTGGAGGGAGAAGGAAAACACAAAGGACATCATGGGGCAACCTATTCCGCCACAGTGTCACGAAGGGACTTGACAGCATCCCAGCCAACCTCTTTCCGGTTCAGCCCAAGCAACAGAGCCAAGGTCACACAGCACATCAGAATCGCCTCCTCCTAACACGACTGGGTTGGCTCTCCTACGACACCAAACCCAGTCCAAGCCAACCCCCACTGCCACTGTGCCTCAGGCCCGGTCCCATGACCCTGGTCCAGAGAGGGATGCAGACGGTTGGTTGAGGCACCTCTACTTTTCTACAAAGAACCCCGCGGACCACAGTGTTGCAGTGCTGCTGGCTGCCACCAGAGGGCGACCGGTTTGAGTGACAACCGCTTCGTTCCCAGAGCTCCGGCTTTGTACCTCTTAGGCTTTCTCATCAGGGCAACGGGTAGAAGTGAGGACTGGGCTGCTAACCACAAAGTCGGCAACTTGAAACCACCCACCAGCCACTGCATGGGAGAAAGAGGAGGCTTTCTACTGCCTTAAAGAGTCAGTCTTGGCAACCCACAGGGTCAGTTCTACCCTGAACCAAAATTGGCTCGGTGGCAGCAAGGGGCGGGGGAGGACCAGAGGCCCAGAAACGAGTGCTAAGAGGTGTGAGAGGAGCCCAGGAAAGCATTTGGAGCAGGTGTTCCTCTCACAGGATTGGCATCCCAGCCCTGATTCCCTAGCTGTGTGACCCTGGCACGCTACTTCACATCCAGGGCCGTGGCTGTCCCATCTTCCCAGTGGCACCAAGGGAGGGTGCATTCACATGCATTCCGTAGAGCAGTGCCCGGACCCCCAGTGCTCTCGGCGCGGTGGCTGTTACTGGCTCTCTCTCTACTGCATGTGCTGACTCATGAATGCACAACTGCCCGGGTCAGGTGCCTTGTCTTATCCCTTAGTTCACAGCCAGGGGAACGGAGGCACAGAGAGGTCCTGTCGCTTGGCTGAGGTCACACAGTCAGGCGCAGTAAAGCTGGACCAGTGCTCTTACCCATGAAGCAGGCTGGGCACTGGCCAGATGTTTAGAGACCTTGCAAATGGGCCCTGTGCTTGCCTCGTGGCGCAAGAAAAGACAGAGAAGCAGGACGGCCCCTTACTCGAGATAACCTAACTAGAGTCGGCTTCCGGAAAACAGGCCCTCCTCCCGCTCCACGGCCTGAGCAGACTGGGCAGCCTGTGGCAGACCTCGGGGCTGGCCTGGCAAACTGTTATCACCCGTTAAACAGAAACCTGGGTGCCACTAACTGCCACGCACTGTACAGGAAGCCGGGTAGGAGGTGGCCAAGCCCAACCGCAACTCCATCCATGCGCTGGGCTTCAGTCCTGTCTCCCCCTCTTGAGCAAGTCCCGTCACCACTCTGGGCCTTCGTTTCCTTATCTGTAACATGGAGATTTTGGGTGGGTGGGTGATGGTTTTTAAAGGTGATATGGGGTAAGGCTGTCAGCAGGATGCCTGAGTATTTACTAAGTGTGCAAAAAATGCTAATTATTATCATCCTAATCCATAAGTACAATGTGAGGCAATACAGCAGAGCGGGGAGGGTCCTGGGAGTGCCCGACGTACATTGAAGTTAGCCTGATAAGCATTTGGGGGGCCTGGATATCAGGCTGGCTCCCGGGGTGGGAGATTCGAAAACTGTTCAGGCCAAAGAGAACCAGGAGGGAAAGGATGATGTGCTGGGGGGTGCTGGACACTCTTGACTCTCCACTGCTGCTGCCCCCTTGCATCTGTCCACAAGCCCTTCCCTCTGGAGTCACCCCCCCCCC